CAGGCTCGGACAAACATCGTAGAAAGTTTGTGAATAGTTTCGCAAACGGGGTTTCCATAGATACAGATTTAGATGACGAACTGGTCTGCAACCATCTGCGACTAGATGCCTTCGAGACGCTGCACCCGGGACCACCGATTCTCCTTTTTAGTGGAACGCTACTTGGGACAACAGATGAAAATGTCAGAGACGTCGATGTTTTGGGCTGCACTACAATCCTGCTTAAGTTGGGTACCTTGCGAAGAGCGATTCCAGTCTTTGTGGTGCAGAGCTATGACACAGATGCGGATATGGTCCTGAGTACGAGTTGGATGAACGAGGATCTGGGAAGCTTTCAAGATGATGAAGTACAGAAACTTTTCGGGAATTCCGATCCGAACTCTGCAGTGCCCTTCAAATGGGAATCAGGTTCGCGACCCCAGAAAATTTAATTTGTTGGAGTATCGACAATCCAATCTGTAGCTAGCCGAGAAAGAGGAGGAAGAGGGAGATGAACGCTTACAAAGGAGAAGAACTTTTATGTATGGCAATAACAGACACGGATAGAAGGATGGTTGCATCGTCTTCTGTGGATCAGGACGACCAATACTGGTCGCCATTTCGCGCATTCACGAATGGTTATCTCAACGGCAGGGCGGCCAAAGTTAAATTGGGTCAGGACATCGAATGGACTCTGTTGAGCTGCAAAGCCTACCGGTCAATTGAATCGGAATGTCCCTTGAGGCAGGCCGAGGAAATCCCTGAGACGAAAACAGGAGTCCGTTTGTTTGTAGCGGGCAAAGCGTCAATCGCTCTTTCAGCTGGGACAATTTCAGAGATGGACAAACGTCTTGGTTGTCGATTGAATAGTTGTAGATCTAACAATTGGACTCGTTTGATAAGAGCGGAATGTAGGTTTCGTTTTTGCCAAGAAGACTGAGATGTTCAAACCTGGTTCGGAGTGCAACATTCAATTGTGGTTAGGTTTAGTTGTCGTGGAATACCGATGCTTCGAGTCCGAAATGGGATGGAGAACAGTGGGAAAATGTCGACGCAGATCCAGGCTTTCATCGGACCGGAATGCAGAGCGATCTATGTGGTATATGGTTTACTAAGAGGGTGCGAGTTCTGGCTCGTAAAGATGTAAGTCCAATGCGGGAGAGCGAGGAGAAAAGCAAGGTGGTAATGATGGGATAAATTTCGACGCAGCGGAACAAATCGATGTCCAATGTTTTGAAGTCAACCGACAGAAATCTGAGTGTAAAGAAAGGAATCAAGGAAAATTGAGAGAAATCAATGTTGGTAATTGTGTGTGAACCCAACAAATATTCAAATGAGCGTATTTACTCAGCAGAGATGATGCACAATGAGAAATCAGTCAATTAGCATAGTGAGGAGAATGCTGATGCAATAGGCGGTATTCCAGTTGGGGAGATAACACAAGTTATTATGTCAATGCGCGGAAGCGGAACGACATCGCGTTTTCCTCCAGTTTTGAGTCGCCAAATTGCATTTATATCATCACACAGATACGACGCATGGAGCATGTTCAAGAGGTGTGGACGGCAGAGAAGAGACGTAAGGATTGCTCCAAGCGAAAAGGAGAACGACGAGAGAGATTATTGGGGCGGACTGAAGATGAGGAGTCGAGTGGTGGAGAGGACTAGGCGGCAGCTAGTTCTCCGAGTAGAGTGGACAATGCCTCGGCTGGAGAGCAAGTAACGTGTGAAATTGGTCAAAGCTCAGATGACGAGAGGCTGGGGGAGCAGCAACAGCTGGGATGGAGTCAAGGGAAATTAGGTGGGATCATAGAATGGCTATGAAGGTATGGGACGGGCACGGAAAATTGCCAGTGAGAGGAATATTGAAAGGCTCTTCCGAGCTAGTCGAACGGTTTCGAAGAGACAAGGAACGAGGTAGATTCGACGACAGAAGGCAAAGGGGTCTAGAGAAAAGAAGGCTGCATACTTCTACAAATTATTTGATCGATGGAAAAGTGTGGAGTCAATCGGAGAAGCAGAGGTTGACCGGGGCTGGGTTAAATCTGAATGCGAGGTCCCCAAGCAGTGTTGGCATCCACCCGACGATCAAGTGACGGATGAAGACAGCACCTCGTGGACAGATGGAAATGCCGGAAGAAGAAGAGTCGGGGAATTGAGGTCAGAGGTCGGAATGGTGATTTTGCCGGATTGCAGTGAGTAAAAATTAAAACTAATTGTCCCCCTCCGTCTTTCTAATCTCATCTGAGGTTTTCATAGTTGCTTTAAAAATTTCTCTACCAGTTGGACGGATAGAAATTGAGTGAAACTCATGGTAGTCTAATTGACTGTTTTAATAGGATGTTGGAAGTATTTCACAACGCCTCCACCAGTTGGACGGATATCTCCACCAATTGGACGGATAGAAATTGAGTAAAATTCATGGTAGTATAATTGACTGTTTTAATAGAATGTTGGAGGCATTTCACAACGCCTTAAAAAATCTTTCTTAGACTCCTAGTTGCTTCACTCCTTGAAGAAACCCTTGGTGCTAACATAGGTGAACTGATTTTGTTAGAGTCTTCGAAAACTGAAGCCCGCAGGTCACTGCGTCACAACACACATAACATTGTGTAGGTAAGCTGAGTTTTTTTAAGAACAATACCTAGAGAGTAGTACAAGGCGGTATAGTATAGCAAAGAACGGGAAGGTGAAAGTGAACCGGAAAAAAATAAGTCTTAAAAGAGTCGATAGATATTGAAAAACGAGTCGAGGTTGAGGTGTTAGATTGGTTATTTATCTCAGTTAAAAAACGGTAACAAACTTTGCCTTTTGCATTATTCAGGAGAATGATGGACTAGGAGGGAAGAGTGTAGAATTGGTGATTCTACTTTTTTACATGCTATAGTAACCTGAGCGTTAGGTTGATTAGTCATTAAGTTAAGCAGTGTAGCAAAAAAAATGCTCGAGTTCAAAATAGCCCATTCTTCGAAGATATCGTCCCTTCTATGCCAGAGAAAAATTTTTGACAAAAACGCCGAACCCCTCAACCCCAAATCGGAATAAAAAAAGCTAGTGTTATGAAGCTCAGAGGAGCGGTATTACAGATTATTTGATCCGGGTATAGGAAAACAGGACCCCCAGACCTGTGGGGTGCAAGTGATAACGGTCCCGAAAAAGTGAAAGGACCTATCAGAACATGGAAACTAGCGGCGGTATCGGCTCAAACGTTAATATGTTGTAGATCTAGTTGAGGGAAGCTTAAGATTGGAAACCCAGACCCCCGTAGCAGTGATGATGGACTTTAGAACTGAGATAACTTGTGAAGTATTAATGGGATCTGGATGGAACTAAGATAAGGAATTGGAAGGTACCGGAGAGCCTCTTAACGTCAGAACAATTCTTGAGTAAGCCAAATAGTTAATTTTTGGACTAAATGAGAACGATTGAGCAAGCCGAGAAGAATAGTTGGTCTTGTGGGGGACGCTATTGCTTGAAGCAAGGTTAGTTGTGTCTCATATTTGTTATAGAAAATTCTAGTTGTTTTGAACACGAGTTAAGTGCCGGGTTGAAATATTTCAGTGAGCGAGTAGCGCTGGAACCCATGTTTAGTACCGGGTAGAATTAGTTGTGTGAGCGAAATGCGTCGAAACCCGAGTTTAGTACGGGGTTGAATTAGTTGTCTGAGCAATTTTTGCTAATGGAGTTGGCGAGTTTTGAATCGAGTCAAGCGATTGACGATAGAGATAACGAATCAATTGAACGGAACCAAATACGGGCTTTGTCATAGAAGTTGTTAAATAGTAGTTAGCGCCTTAAGGGAATTGTAAAATGCTTTTATTTCCTTTGCAATTGACAATTTTCTAATTGTGCCCACGATTTGCTGATCTAGTAAGAAGCACATGAGGAGAACTGAAAAGAGCATAAGCCAAGGGGGAAGTTGCGTAATCCTTTGATTGGCCGATTTAGTCTGACCACCACATAACCCTTTTGGGATTGTCGATAATATCGTTTCTTATTGTCCCCCGCTATTAAACGGTATAAAGGATAGATACTCTGCGGCCGTTAAAAAGAGTGACAACGTGCTTACATGAGACGACTCCCCGAGATAAATCTACAGATTGCCTGAAAATTCGAACTCAGAATCAAGTTATTACCCTAGTTACCTACTAAACGGCTTTGGAGGATTATTAACTTGGTCACCTCAGCGCAAAGGAGGATTCAGGAGAGGTCGCTGGGCGGAAATTTTTTAAACTCTTTGGGATTCGACCTCCTGACCATCCCTCAGTGGATGTGGGACAAACTGAAATGCATCACAGAAAAGTAGATATTTCTCCGAATTAAACTATAACAGATTTTTTTCTATCAATGTTTTCTGAATTGTCTGAATTTTGAAATTGTGGACCGAGTGTCTGTTTCACCAAAACTTATGTAGTCATAGCATAAAGAAGTCAAAAAAAAGAGCGCGAACAAATTGAAGAGTATGTAATTGCTCTTTCACACATGTTCTTTCACGACAAGGCATGAATGAAAAAGGAAAAATTAGAACGCATGAATGAAAAAATAAATCATTTGCATAGTTTCGCGCACTTTTGCGGGCTCTTTCACAACTTTCCGGGCTCTTTTTTTAAAAGAAGCCCGGTTATAACAATTGAAAAAGAGTGAATAGAAGAAAACATGGATTCTGAGTACGAGTACCAGTTGTGATTAATAACCCCCAAAACTGTACTCTCAATTTTACAAAATATTCGTCTCTGTCCTCCAAAACAAACAGAAAGAGCAAAAACATACTCTTCAACAGTTAAAACATAGTTGAAGATGGCCTCCGGCAAAAGAGCCGCCCTCGGGCATCTTTCAACTATGTTCTAACTACTACAAAGGCTTTTAAAAATTGAAACATTGAATACACAAACTAACAATTGGAAAACCACTCGTTCTTTCATACTTATTTAAGCATTGTCGAAGCAATAAAGCAGTTGAGAGAAGGTTATTTGTTACAATACATCACGGACTATCTTGACATTTAAAAAGATGTTTTATCACCTGGGCAGCAGAACTCTGGCTCAACACGCCGATGTATTCTTCCTTGTCCAGAAACAAAGTCAGTTTCAGTCCGTTTTCTTTGCCAGTCTTGGAAGTATTTCTCACTTCGGAGTAGATTCCATTCTGCATGTTCGTATCATAAATCGAATTAAAAATGAAACAGTTTCCAAACTTTGGGTTTGGGTACTGTTTAAACTGGCTAGGATCACAGTTGCGACCATCGTAAGTACACTGGGCAATGAAATCATTGGCCTGGGTTCCAAAATAATTCAGTTCCTCAAGAGGAAAACGGGCAAATGGTCTGAGATCTGAATAGTCGAGGGCCGTCGAGTCGTCATACGCTTGGCGCCAGTCGTATTCAGCCATGTTTTCGTCAAAGGCCGAGTAGGGGTCGAAATTATTGTACCACGAATAGTAATTGGACCAGAAGTTCGAATTATAAGTCAGGCCACCATCGCTGCCGTAATAATTGGAAGATGATGAGGGTCCAGAGGATCCTGAATATGACGACGAAGAGTCGGAACTACTTCCGGATTCTGACCTTCGAACCCTCAGCATCGATTGAATATCCCTTCTATTCCGAGTGTACGCGGGCGCCATGTTCATATCTAGACCACGTCTGTTGATCTTAATAACAGCTTCTTCCGCCTCCCTCTTGACCCTTGCTGCGGTCGGCGGTGGAGCTGATTTGTAGGTTATCCGGAACCCCATTCTACGTGCAGTGTAGTCGCTGAAGAATCTAACAAGCATTTTGACACCTGCAAACAAAATTGCTCCATTCATTTTTGCTAAGGTGAACTGAAGTGGCTCCCCATATAATCGAAATCGTCTCTACTACAGTTTTGATCATCGTTTATTTCTGCAGAAAAAAAGAGATGTACTTTTGATTAACAATTATCCTGGCAAACAACACAAGAATTCCAATTTTCCAGCCAAAAATCTTTCTCCTTTTACAATACAAAAGCAGCTGTTCTCGCTAGATTTATTGGCGAGCAAAACCAAGGCTATGACTTTTGAATTTCCTGGTGAACAAAGAACAGAGTGTGAAAAAAGTCAAGCTGGCTGATAGGCTGAACGAAACAAAGGTCACACCTTTTTCAGGCGCTGATTTAAAATTGATACAATAATTTTTTCACCTTTTGTGTATTTTATGACATTGAATTCTGCTTTTAAGTGCCGAAGTTTATGGCAGTTCGTTATTTTTTGTTGACTAGTAATTTCAGAAAATTTCGTTGCTCTAATCTAAAAAAAACGCAAGAAGATCGAATTGAAAGCGTAATTTGATAAGAGATATCTCGGTTAATAAGTCAGAAAGTTGTTAGATTTTAACTTTTTTTAATTGATCATAACATCCACAGTTTATAGCTTAAAATTCAACGTGCCATCACAATTGTCTTTCAAGATCCTTTAAACATTGCTCAGGCTATAGTTTTGTTTGACAAACTTTTCGAAAATGTTTTGAAAATCCGCCGCTGCAGCTCAAGAAAATCCTAGATCCGCCCCAGGTTTTATTAACTACATAAGGACTCAATTGAACACTTAATTTTTGATATAATCAGCCCAAAAATCATAGCTTTGCTAAATCTTTTTTCTACCAAAAACTATTCAAGACCAATTAAAGGCAGTCGAAACATTCAGGGCTTTGCCCTGATAAGAGAAGTCTTGTTTGCCCGGGTTGACCGTCCGGCTTTTTTTCACTTTCCCCCACATTTGATTTTCAGTTTTGAAAAACTATTTTAACTTTTCAACTCTTTTTCTAGTTGTTGTACATGATAATAAGGCTAAATGCGTCATGTTCCGATCTAAGGTATGTGGGAAAATCTTTCACAATTGTTAGTTTGTTCACCACGCCAAATTTCATTGCATTGTGACTAATTTAATGCAAGTTTTGAAAATTGAAATCAATAGTTGGGGGAGTGGAAAAGAGCCCAACTTTGTGATAAAAAGTTCTAAGATCACCAAAACTCAAAAAACTCGCCTGAAACATTTTGAATTTGTGTCTATACCGTAAATACAGATAGAAATCAATTTCTACAAATCTCCTACTTATAGGTAATAAGGGGTTCAAAACTATTTTGGAGACAACAAAAATTCAACTTCGACTTTTACCGTTTAATTTTGAAATCAGACATCCCAGGATCCCAGGGTTAGAAATGGGATTCACAGATTTATTGCCAAGATTACCATCAGGAAAAGCCTTCCCAGCATCAAATTATGATAACGAATTGATGGTGGCAACGGTGAACAAGACTTTAGAAAACTTTACCAATAATTAGTGATTGTAAAAAGAAGAATTGTAAAAAGAACGAACTGTACAATCCAGTGGATGTAAATACTGTTACTGACTTGGATTACAAAAATCCAAAGGGCGGAGACAAAGAATTAGCATTACACATCCAACAGTCGTTCTCCGCGAATGTTCTTAATTACGTCACGGACGCAAAACGAACTTGTTATTGTAATCTTTCGCGCGCAGAGTCTTGCACAAGCGGTTGTATTCCATTAAACCTTTCTAAATTTAACTTCAATCAATTTCCTCTTTCAAAAAAATCTTTTTACTTCTTTTTATCACATTCTTTTTTATAAATTGGCTCATTCCTAAAACATGAAGACAAATATACAATTTCAGAATTCTTTTCGTCAGTAAAAACTTCAAAAATTTCCCTTCGGGCAGATATTCAAGGAATTACATTAAAGTTTGCTAACGACACTATGTCGGAAATACACAAAAAACTCCTTTGAGAATTGAAATTACCCGCCATCCCATTAGTTTTTACGGAACACTTCTCGAACAAATTAATCAAATTAATAACAGACGAGGAAAAAATACTCAAAGACGTGATGAAGGCGGTGGAAGAGGGCAGACCACTGGATAGATTTGGAGCTTACATGAAGACCTTCCAACGGGACATCCACGTGAAGGAAGGACTACTGTTTAACGACAACAAACTAAAAGTGCCAGCAGCCCTAAGATCTCCATTCATGTCATTACTTCACGAAACACACCCAGGACAGTTTGGAATGAAATCTCTAGCGAAAAACATATGGTGGCCACACTTGTATAGAGAGATTTACTGCCACAGGAAAAACTGCAATCAGTGTATAAAGGCGGGTAGGAACCTAAAAGTTATTTTGGGGACAAACAATACCGAGAAAGTACCGATCCTATCAGAACCAAACGAAGAATTAGACCTGGACTTTGCTGTCCATTGGAAAAAAAATGGGGTAATTCAAAAAATCTTTTGTTATGCATAGATCGTTTCTCTGAATTTCCGTCAGCCGAAGCTTCCTCGTTTTTATCCTTTATGTCGGACTACTGTCATATACATGGGTGCCCGAAGTCTATTAGAGCGGACCAAGGGTCATGCTTTATTTGGAACGGTTTTAAAACTTCTGTGAGAAGAACAATATTAACCTTATTTTATGTACAGTCGGAGATCTTACATCCAATGGAGTCGTAGAACGCCTCATTTATTCAATTGAAGCAAAACTTAGGGGCAATATCGTTTAACGAACCTAAACCAACGTTAAACGCGGCACTTGATAAAATCATTTGGAATATTCGTTCAACGAAACAATCATCCATTAGATGCTCATCTTTTTCTAAACGTTTTAATAGATCGCCTAATACATTCTTGAAATCACTGGTTTCGCACACTTAGATAAAGGGAAGTGAACTATGTCAAGAGATAGAGCACAGGACTGGAGAACGACTGACAACATCGAGGACGGCTACTTGGAAAACACAATACAAGACAAGAGGGGATACGAGAGCGACCCGACGGATGAAACAGATCAAGATCTCCAAAGAGCACCTCTATCCAATCCCTTCAGTCGAGAAGTTATTTGGTTTAGGAAGACGGTTAACAGACGGGAAGGCGAACCGTATTTTATACCCCTTGGCCGAAAACGCTGTCTGATACTACACATTGATTAACCCTTGATAACGGTCATGTACTTAAAAAACTGGACCTAGCTTTCAAGAAAACTCAACTATTGGCTCCTAGAAAATTTCGTTCAATCCCGAATTCGATAGTTAGTATTTATGATTTAGCAGGGAAACGAAAAAGAATTTCGCCATCGTGGAGAAGAGACACGAATGAAACTGGCCCATCATCAACATACTTACCAACCAGAGCTAATGGCACAAAAAGGAGTAAAACTAAAGCCCCAAGCGTTAAAGGTTCACGTTTCGCTTACTCGGATATCAACTCTTCTCTAGACTTAGACCCTTGGGATAATGTTTTAGAGGATTATTTGGGAACCGACTCGGAGAATGTACTTAACTCTCAATCTTTTGGTAGTGATAGTGCTTTAGATCAGTCAGGACGATTTATAGCAAATGAAACCCCAACACTTACTTCCAATGCATCAACCGCGGGCACCAGCAACAAACCAATAAGAATCAAGAGCTCCCCGGAGAAAACTACAGAGGTTCCATCAGTAGAAGTCCCTAGGTGTAGCGTGCCTCGCCCCAGAAGAAATCCGGGCCCCCCAAATTTTAAGGAGAGAGGCGGTTCATCATGCAGATGGCACCAGGAGCAGCAACCACGGATATACTGGACTCGGACGAGGAACCGCTCATAACCTTCTCGGCGACTAGAAAAGAACAGACCTCATATTCACTAGAATCCCCATCGGCCTACTTGACACCACTAGAGGATTTACTACCCAAACCAACGTTAGTGGCTGAAACGACATTTCCTCAATAATCCCCAATATCGCAGTCATATAATCTCTATTAGTAGAAGACGTACTAGACAACCAAGATGACGAGGGGAGCGATATATCGTCGATCATAGAAACGGAAGTATGAAAAGAGGCCGACAATTTCCATGATACATTTAATGCCACTTCCTATAACTCACACACTCTCTTATTTTTATGAACTTGAGATACCGTTGATTTCTACCATTGGTTATTAACTTCATTTCAAATTTGATTTTATTTACAATTTCTTAGTTTTAGTGAATTTGTAGACTAGTTCTTAAATTAACATATTTTACTTAGTTACCTAGTTAGTTTAGTTTGTTCAATTTGTTTGTATGATACATAACCGCAATTGTATATAACATTTCCATAATTGTCTATTCGTTGTATATATCGGTATCATTTTGTAGGTAGCCTGTAAAAATTATCCCATATTCATCTCCATGATAATTTGTATATTCTCTGTAAATTCCATTGGTGCTAAACGTTGATATTTTTGTTTCAAACTTTGTCCCTCGTGGAGTGAGGGGAGAGTGGAGTATATGTGTGATATTGGCTACCCAGTGAAAGTGCAGATATATTTATGTACTATTAGTAAGTAGTGACCTTGACCTCTATTAGATAATTACATACCGGTCCATGTTAACCGTTCGAAGTCCCGTGGACTTCGCGTCACTAGTTGTTCTTTGAAGACATCGGTCAGTTTTAATTCAATACCTCTATTTTATTTTTTTAACTGAGATTAGATAGATTAGATTAGCAGTGGTATTTGCATACTTTTATCAATTTTGACGAATCAATTCATTTAGCTGCGGACTTGTTGTATGCGGGGTTCATGTATCTGTCGACAAAATTTCTAATTATGTATTGTGTACAGTTAGTGGATTTTTCAGTAAATTCATGTAGGTAAAAGAGTCGTTTGCCTACGAGTTTCCGTTATTGTTTTGTGCGAAAGTGGAGAACTTTTATTTAAAAAAATAAACATGCAAAAAAAGTTTCAAAAAAAATTTGTAGGGAAAGTTTCTCACGTACAACCTACTTATAAGAAAAGTCAGTATCTTAAAACTTTCTCATAAGAAAAAGTCCTTATCTTGTAACATTTTTAGAGTTGTAAGACTCTTATAAGAAAGTTCTAAGATAGCAATTTTCGGTCAATCCGGGTGTTTATACGTCCCAAAATTGAAAAATTGGATGAAAACTCTCAAATCTGGTTGAAATTAATTCAGGCCAAAGAAAAATTGGATATTATTAAAAACAGAGCCTAATTTGGTAAAATGGTTATTGGGGCCGTATAACAGAGAGTACAAAACATATAAATGAGTAGCATTTAATTGTGCATGCTTGCCTGTAGACCGAATGGGTGCAGTTGGGGCTACGCTTCCGCAGAGTTTATTCCGCCCATCCACACGAATGACCTCATCAATCTGGCTGTTGCCGTCGTGGAACATGAGGAAGTCATAAGGACATGTCCCACTGCCGTCCGCTTCAATATCAAACGAAGAGTCAATGGACAACTCGATGATCTCTCCCCCAGCTGAAGTAAATACAAAGTTATTGTTGACTCGTTCTTATTATTTTTAGGGAAATGTAGGGGACCTATCTAACAATACCCCCTGTCCCAGTCAGTGGCGTGCGCAGAAAATTTTCTAGGGCGGTTGTTCCGAGGTCTCCAAAAATTTTATTAAGACCCATTTTGTTGAAAAATTTTCTGCGCCGCAGGCAACTTTGGAAAAAAACGGCAAAAAATGACTTTTTGAGAATTTTCGAAAAATATTTGACCAAAAAACTTTTTCGGCGCGTTTCCCCTCAAATTTAGTTATCATCATCATCATCAGCACCATTCTTTATTTAGACAATTATGTTGGTGCCAAAGGCGCTTTTAGAAAGTCAGCCAAAACTCGATCTCGTAAAATTATGCAAAAAAGGGGACCCTTTGAAAACATTTGGCAACCAGAAGTGAGAAGAGGAGCAACCTCTGAATAAAACATCAAATTAGCGATAGAGTTTTCTATGTAAATTTTTAAAGTTTTGAGTTGGTAGAAAATATACCAACTTAATCTACTTAACAATGTCCCCCTTCTTGAAAGGGGGAAATTATGAAGTAGATCCAGTGATGGGGTGGGAAACTTGGGACTGGGTGCTGTACCGCATAAAAGAAAGGGTGTTTAGCAGAAAAAAAAACTGGAAAAAAAACCAAAATGAGAGAAAGATAACAACGCGAACTGGGCATTTTGCAAATTTACAAAATCCGGTGTGCGGCTACTAAGAATGCGATGCGGAGAAGTGGCTATTCTACAGGGCAATTCAGAGGAATTTTTTTAAATCGGCAATTAAATAACGATCTTTTCTAAATAAAACAAGGACAAAAGCTTAATGTTAAAATCCGCATCGGCCAGCTTTTGTATTTTTTGCACATACATTAAACATGTAGCCAAAAATGACCACCGTTCTCCTATATACACTTAGTTGCACTGACCCATATCTGATCAAAAAAATTTTGTTGTCGCGGGTTTCGACAAAAACAATGACGGATTCTAAGCAGTCCAGAAATTCAAGGATTCGAGGATTGCGGGGAATGTCATAATATAATGAAATATTGCATGGTGAACAAACAAATTATTGTGATCAGATTTGATCTTCATACCTTGCATCGTAACATTACGCGTTTAGCCATAATCTGACGTAATGCAACTAAACAAAAATTTAACTATGGGAAAGTGGAAAAAAGCCAACCATCCTACGAAAAATTCCCCTTTCTTAAGAATTCTGATAAAATTTGTAGGAAATTTTCGCTATCTTAAACTTTCGGTTTTTTTCCTTCCCCCTACTCTACCTTTCAAATTTTCTTTTTCTCTAGTTGTAGTACATAGTAAATTGGCTAAACGCGTGATGTTACGATGTAGGTTAGAAGGAAAAATCTGTTCACAATTGTTAGTTTGTTCACATAAAAAAGCGGTTTGAAGAGAGAAAAAAACTGGGGAAAAAAACTGGAAAAAATGATAAGAGAAAACAAATGCAGATAGGGCAGTTTGCAAAGATAAGATAAAAACTCCATTGCACTAAGATCGGAATGCGGCCTAGAGGCTGTTCTACATATATCGCGCGTTAATTGTCCCAAATTGGCCGATATATCGCGCGTTAATTGTCCCAAATTGGCCAAAGTGGCAATTTTTAAACCCCCATAAGTTTACACAAAATGATCACACGTAAAATATCTTTTCAAATTTATGTTCAGCTCAACAATACCTTTCGAATAATAAAAAAATTCATCAAAATTGCAAGTTAAAAAGTCGAAACTTGTCTGAAGAAAAAAATCCACCCGATCAAAAATATTCAGTTACTTTTGTTACGAAAGTCGGTCCGAACAATAACGATCTTTTCTATATTATATAAGAACAAAGCTTAATGTTAAAATCCTCATCGGCCAGTTTTTGTATTATTTGCACATACATCAAACATGCAGCCATAAATGACAACCGTTCGCTTGTATACACTTAGTTGCCCTGACCCATATGTGATCAAAACAAAATTTCGTTGTCGCTTGTTTCAACGAAAACAATGACGAATTCTAAGTTGTCGATAAATTCGAAGATTCGAGGACTGGGGGGACTCGGAGAACTCTGCTCACCTCAGAGAGTCCCAAATTTGAAAAGCAGAAAACCAGGAGTTAATTAAATTGCGGTTTTGCTGGGCCATGTCAAAGAACATCTCCAGCCCGCAAAAAGGTCAGGAAATTACAATCAGAGTCTTTTGTAGAAAACCCAAATCAAAAAAATTACGGCGAATGTCACTAAGAAGCCATAATTTTTCAGGCCAAACTTTTTGATGAGGACGTTAAGAAACAAAAATTGGACGATATGATTATCAAAAGGGACCAAGGCCTTCGTTTCTCAAAAGTCCTACCCAAACAATTGCCCCTGATAAAATGTTTTCTGAAACTTTTCACTTTCCTCAAAAATCAAATTTCCAGATGCTTTAGAGCGACAGTTTTTAAAAAATTTCTCTTTGAGAGGAGGGGGCTAGTAAACTTTGCAAATAGTAAGATAATCAAATCTGCTCTTCTGCAAAACAAACCATTTGGATCTACGGCTCTTTTTCAGCACCCTTCTTTGGTTTTTTTCTGAAATTCATTTGATTAAAATCTATTTAATATGATTTTTCATGTAAGAAACTGCAATAAAAATAACAGCGTGAACAGTTGAACAAATTTTTACAACGTTTCCTGCATGCAAGTAGCCGTGTGAACAATTTTCGAACAGTTTCATTTTGTAATTTTACGAGGAGGGTGGGAAACTGGAGAAGAGCCGTATCTACTTAACAACTGCCCCCCTTTCAAGAAAGGGGGTGGAACTATTAAGTAGATTAAGTTGTCAAATTTTCGACCAATCAGATTGCAGCAAAGTTCGAATTTTATTTACAAAGCTCTAGTGTTAATTTACTGCTTTAATTTATAGGGGTTGCCATTTTTTAGTAGATACAAAAGGGAGGGCCCGAGCGCCCATGGATCATAATCAACCCCCCCCCCCCCCATTTACCCCAATTTAACCCCCCCCCCCCCCCATTTACCCCCAATTTAACCCCCCCCCCCCCAGTTTACCACCCCGTCCCCACCACCTTACCCCCCCCCCAGTTTACACCCCCAGCTTTCCCCCGTTTACCCCACCCCTTTAGTTGGGGGGGAGGCAAAAAAGCTTGAGGGGCGAGGGATGACTTTGAGACATGGCAATTAGTAAAAGACATGGCATACATATTGCAAATTTCTCGCAAAATTAGCAAAATTTGTGCAATAATAATCGAATTTAGTTCTAAAAATGAAATGGATTAAAATCGGTTATAATGGATTATAAGGGATTTTCATTTTAAAAAAAAATAGATTATAATGGACTATCTTGGCAAAAATAATCGATTTCAGTGCCAAAAACAATGGATTATAATCGATTATAATGGGTTCTAATGTATAATTTTTTTTTCAAAAAAAAAACGATTATAATGGCAATAAAAAATATAATCGATTTCGTGGTCTGAATTTTACATCGGTAATGGATTATAATGGATTATTTTTGTCTCGGGAACCCATTAGAATCGATTAGAATCCATGGACGCTCGGTGCGGGCAGCAAAGGCAATTTCACGGTTGAAAACTCTGAAACCGCAAAAAAAAACATAACAATCAGTGGCGGATTTAGGGGTGACCCGTTGGCTTGCTCGTTCATCCTGACCAAGTAGAGGGTCCCCGTTTGGGTATTATTTTATGACATCCATTTTCCTTTATGACATCGATCAACCTTAAATTTTTTTTTGATCAACCGCAAATCTCAACCCCCCCCCCCCCCTAAGTGAGCTACCGTAGAATGCCCTCCCCAAGCATGTATGAAAAAGAAAAATAATTCTGTATAAAAAAATGTTGTATAATTAAATATTTCTGTGAAATAAACAGTTCTGTATAAAACGCCCACAAAAATTGTTTTTCACATTTTTAAAATTTGATTGCATTTGTATGCTGTAAATTACACAAATTATTGTTTTAGTTCAAGTTTTTTTTAGTAATACGGTTAATTTTGAACAAATCTATGCTATATACTTAAAGTTAGCTCATGAAAAATCCATATTTTCTCCCCCCTTAATGGATTTGGGGGGGGGGGGGGGGATTGTACGGTTTGATCCAATTTTTAAAGGCTCCTCAACATTCTTTTGCTTCTGATGAGCTTAACTTACAGAAATGCCCGCGACCTGGTTTTTCAAATCTCAGAAAATTAGTGGCAGAGACCCTGTCAACTTTTAGTCATATTATATTTGAAAAATAACCATTTTTCTGATTCATTCAGAAGATGTATAACTGAATTATGAAAAAGGGAAACCTTTCCTTTGTTCTGGCACCACTTCTTTAATTCGACAACAGCCTTTACCTCAAAGAAGACTCGGAAAAATATATATCTCATAAGATTTTCTTGTGTTGAGAAACACACCGATCTCAAAGTGTGCTAATCAGATTAAAATACAGCTCGAGAAATGAATGAAACAGTGACTTTTATACAACGATTTTGTCATGAATAAAACATTACCTTATAGATCAATTTATTATACACATAAACCAAACAACTCTGCCCGGCTAGTAAATTAAACTGCTTACTGGTTGTGGAAATCTGCCAGACACAGTCTAGGTCGTTCTTGTACATGGTGGAAGGGTACCCGTCTGAAGTAAAAGTCTGGTCTGATGACGTTGCAGCTAGATCTCCCCCGCACAGAGCAAACTAAAAAAAAGTTTCGCTCAGTTCTCCGGTAACAAAAGTTCAAAATGTGAACCAGCATTACAAAAGCAACACTCAAAAAGGTTCAAGTCACTCATTCTGAAGCAAACATTTTGAGCGCAATTCGGTCAAAAACAGATGAAAAGGTTCAAAACTTGCTTCAAACAATGCGTAGCACCTCGATTTTTACCTGGAATATTTGAAAACAGCATCAAAATAACCAAAAAGCCAACACACTTAAATGAAAAAATTTCGCTATGAAATAATTTTCAGAGAAGAAAAAAATGGCTCAAAAAGTCGAAGCCAAGGACTTCATTTTTTTCCGAGCCAAGCAATAGACTTTTAAATATACTTTCCCCCTACCCTTCCTCAGCGACTAGTTTCAACCCTTTATTACCCAAAGGGTCCCCCTTTAATACTAAATTACGGCATCCAATTTAGGCTATCCAATTTAGGCCCTAAAATTGTTCTAAAGGCGCATTCGGCGCCAATATATACAAATTTTAAGAAAGGTACTGTTGTGATTTAGTATTTTAGTATGTTTTAACCTTGACCACTATGTGTTAATTATGTACCAGTTAACGTTTACTCTTCGAAGACCAGTGGACTTCGCGTCACTAGTTGCTCTTTTAAGACATCGGTCAGTTTTAATTCAATACCTTATTTTATTCCTTTTTAACTTAGTTTACTTAGAATAGTTACCAGTGGTATTTGCACAATTTTATTATGGCGCAGTCATCAACTGATTCGAATATGCGGGGAATTCCCGCCTTTTGGCCAAATCACACGATAGAACCACCCACCCAATAAACCAACTGGATAGACCAATTTCATCTGGCTATCATCGCTAAAGAGAATTTAGATATAGATAATCTAAAGGAGCCATTGGAACTGGAGACTACGATCCCTATCCTAGAAGGCGCCCAGTAGTCAGAAAATGAACCAAAGAGGAAAGCCAGGGAAGACAGAAATAAAGAGACCTTGCGAGTCTACGAACACGCAGAGGACAAAAGAATAGCAGAAGAGAAACGTCAATTCGGAGGTATGAGGAGATACGAGGCCGATAAAAAAAGTAAGATCAATCTTATATTTGGCCCTAGGAGCGGAAGGAAAGAGAGTTTTTGCTCAAAACACCCAAGAGTTAAAGTCCTAGGAATCTCCTTCAAAGAATTTTTCGATCTACAGGAAACAGCTTTTATTAAACCGACAAATGTTACGCTTGAACGATACAAATTGCTAAGCAGAAAACAGAAGGACAGTCAATCCTATGAACAATTTTGGGGCGCACTATCAGACTTAGCAAGATCAGGTGAAGTTGGAATCAACGCCGAGCAGGAGTGGATAAGAGATGTATTTATTTTTAACATGAAAAACTGTGATTTACAACGAAGATTACTCTCGGAAACTCTTAATCCAGTGGATGCACTCAACCAAGCCATCATTGACGAAAAAGGCTACTAAAACCATCTTAAACTAACAAACATGACTAGATCATTCAACACGACAGGAAGTAGCGGCAGAGTGTACAAAAATTTTAATAATGTAAAAAAGGAACCAAATTTGAACATAAAAAGATCTAATACTTGTATAAAATGTGGGAATGCGTTTACCAACGGTCACCTGAATGTGTGTCCGGCAAAGAAGGAAATAATCTGTAACATTTGTAAATATGAAGGACATTTTGGAAGACTGTGTAAATCGAAAGGAAGAAAACCCGCTGTAAATACTGTAGAAGAAGTTGTAAATAGTCAGAATTTTCCATACTCCCTAGAAGACCCACAAGCAAGAATTGAAGAAAACTTTTGTGGCGTGATTAACGCTTGGACAGAAGAGCGGATCAGTGACAACGACGATTGTTCCGTTCTTAACATCAGAACCATCTATGACACCAATGAAATGGAAACAAAGAAATTGGTTAACATTGGACTGGGAGATGACGCAATAGTTAACCTGAACATTCCAGTAGACTCGGCGAGTCCAGTAAACTTTATTGAACAAAAAGTCCTACATGAACTGAAATTGAGAAAACCACATTTGAAAATGCACCAAGTAGACAAGAAAACTCGTGAATGTTACTGCGGTTTTACTAACGATACAATCAACATCATCGGAAAAATTGTAGTTAGAATACAATCCAATGGATGGATCACGGAAGAAACTCCATTTTTTATCACCACTGGACACGAGAGGAACATTTTAGAAAACGACAGTTTACCACGAATCGGAATCGAAATAGCTCAACGACAACCACTACTACCCGTCAAGAACGTAACCTTTCCAGATTCGTGTAAGTCAAACAATCATTCAGACACAATCCTTAACTTGTACCATAAATTCAAAAGATTAATTAACAGAGTAGGGAAAAAACCATTGGACAGAAAAATCACTCATTTCCACTCCCCGTTCAAACCTATCAAAACACCAAAGGCAGAAGAGTTCCTCTGCATTTATTAGATAGTGTAAAGATGGAATTAAATATAATGGAAAAGGAATGGCATTTTGTGAAACCAAGCAAAAGTGATGAAGACTGCTTTATTAGTCCAATAGTGATAACAAGAAAAAAAGACGATAGCATCAAGTTGGCTTTAGATTCGAAACTCCTAAATGACCAGATATTTAAGAACAAATATCAAATGCAAAACATACACGAACTCATCGACAACATAGCTCTCCAACTTTCTAACAAAGATTCAGGGGAAGTCTGCTTTAGCAATTTAGACCTAAAAAACGCGTACATTCAATTACAATTATGCACAGACACCAGCAAACAATGTAATTTTAGTATCGTAGGTGGTGAAACCACCGGGACTTATAGATTTTTAACGGGGTTTTACGAGCTAGGTGACATGCCAACCGAATTCTAAAGGGTGATGGATTCATTACTGAAATATATACCTTTTACAAACTAATATATCGACGATATTTAATAGCCTCAAAAGGATTGTTAAAAGAACACAAAGCGATACTAGCAAAAATCTTAAATATCTTGGACAACAAGAACATGGCAGTTAAATGGGAGAAATGTGCATTTTTCCAAAAAGAAATAGAGTGGCTGGGATTCATGACATCAAACTCGGGGTTGAAACCATTGGTGGTAAAATTAGATCCTATAAAAAGCCTTCCAAACCCCAAAATCATATCTGAATTAAGGTCATTATTCGGCTCGATCAACGAAAATATGAATTTCGTCCCAATCCTGTCAACCCTAAGTTCTCCGTTACACCCACTTTTAGTTACAAAAATCAGTTCACCAATGGAACGAAGATCACACGAAGGCTTTCGAAGAATTAAAGAAACAGATTATTAACATTATAGAGAACAACCATTTCGATATAAAAAGGATGTCAAAATTAAAAACACACGCTTCACGCAGTGGTCTGGGAGCCACATTAGAACAATGAGACGGGGAAAGTTGGTTAACAATAGCATTCGCTTCTCGATTTTTAAATAGTGATGAAATGAAATATTCTACAAACGAATTAGAACTGTTGGGAGTGGTTTGGGCTACAGAGCATTTTAAAAACTACTTGTATCGCGCCGAGTTCGAGATTGTAACGGACCACAAGGCATTGTTATCAGCCTTAAACGCTAATCAAAGTAACAAAACAATGCACAGCAGACTGACCCGTTGGGTAAATTGACTTTTAACATTTAGTTTCAATATCAAACATATACCAGGAAAAGAAATGGGATTTACAGATTTATTGTCGAGATTACATTCAGGAAAAACCCTCCCAATCTCACACTACGATAACAAATTTGTAGTGGCAACAGTAAAAAAGAAGATTGTAGAAAAACCTCTCTGTAAATATTGATTGTAAAAAAATAATTGTACAAAGAACGAATTGTACAATCCAGTGGATGTAAATACTATTACTTACTTGGATCACAATAATCCAATGGGCGGACAGAAAGAATTAACTTTATACATCCAACGGTCGTTCTTCGCGAATATTCTTAACTATGTCAACGACACAATTAGAATTTGTAATTCTAATCACTCGTGTTCAGAGTCCCGTACAAGCAGTTGCATCCCATTAAACTTTTCAAATATCAATTTTAATTACTTACATCTTTAAGACAAAACTTACCTATTTTTCTTTCACATTCATTATTATTAGTTAACCAGTCCCTAAATCTCGAAAGCAAAATCTGTTTGTAGAATTTCTTGCGTCTGGGAATTCATTAAAAAAATTCCCTTAGAGCGGAAAATAAAGTAATCATTTCAAATTTCGACAACGGCATAATGTCAGATATTCACAAAAAATTACTCGCTAAATACAAGGGAGATCTGAAGTTACCAGAAACTCCATTATCTTTCTTCAAACTTTGCTCAAAAAGATTAATTAGACTTATGACAGACGAGGACAAAAATCTCAACGACGTGAAGAAGGCAGTAGAAGAAGGCAGACCATTGGACAGATTCGGATCTTACCTGAAGACCTTTCAACGAGACATCCACGTGAAAGAAGGATTGTTATTCAATGATAACAAACTGATAGTGCCAGCAGCTCTGAGGTCGCCATTTTTGTCGCTACTCCATGAAACCCACCCAGGACAGTTCGGAATGAAATCTCTGGCAGAAAACATCTGGTGGCCAAATTTATGTCGAGAGATTTTTTACCATGGGAAAAAAATTTATGCAGTGTATCAAGGCGGATAAGAATTTAGAAGTGATTTTGGGCACGAGCAATACTGAAAAATGCCAATTTTATCTGAACCAAATGAAGAAGTAGTCTTAGACTTTCCGGGTCCATTGGACAAAAATTGGGGCAACTCAAAATATCTATTACTATGTATTAATCGCTTCTCAAAGTTTCCGTCAGCAAAGGTGGTGAATAACATTTCAGCTTCTTCAATTTTATCTTTTATGTCAGATTATTGTCATTTTCATGGATTTCCGAAGTCTATCAGATTCGACCATGGGTCAATTTTAATTCGAACTATTTTAGAAACTTCTGCGAGAAGAACAATTTTAATTTAATTTTATGTACGGTCGAGGATCACAGATCCAATGGAGTCGTAGAACGACTCATCTGCCCAGTTAAAGCAAAATTCTTGGTAATGTCGTTTAACGAAGCCAAACAATCTTTAAATGCTGCAATTGATAAAAATCATTTGGAATATTCGTTCAACGAAACAATCATCCATTGGATGCTCTCCATTTTCAAAACGTTTTATTAGATCACCTAATACTTTTTAGAAATCTCTGGTCTCACACGCGATTAATTTAGATAAAGGGAAATCAATAATGTCAAGGGATAGAGCTCAACACTGGGGAGCAAATGACACAATCGAGGACGGCTATCTGGAGAACTCAGTGGCAGACAAGAGGGGTTACGAGAGCGACCCAACTGAAAACCCTGACCTAAGTCTTCATCGAGCCCCACTATCCAACCTATCTATCCAAGGAGGTATTTGGTTTAGGAAGACAGTTAACCGATGGGAAGGCGAACCTTACTTTAAACCCCTTGGTGGAAAGCCACTGTCGGATGCAACGCATACGGATGGACTCGATGGAAACCGGCCCATCGACAAGCTATAAGCCAACGGGAGAAAAGGCGACGAAAAGGAGGAGAATAAAAACCCCGAGTTTCAAAGGTTCAAAATTCGAGTATTCGGAATTAGATTCTTCGCTAGACTTAGATCATTGGGACAAAGTTATTGATGACTATTTGGGTACCGACTCGGAAATTGTATACAATACTCCGACTTATAATTTTGATAGTGATTTAGATCAGTCAGGACGAACGATAGCGAGCAAAATCAACACTCATACGACTAGCAGATCTCCAGCGGGTACAAGTGATAACCCAATTAGGATAGAAAGCTCTCCGGAAAAGAACATAGAGACTCCTCCAGCAGATACCCCGAAAGGTAACGACTCGCGACCCAGAAAGAATCCAGGCCCCCTAAATTTTATTGAGACAGGCGCTTCATATGTCAATTGGCCTTAGGAGCAGATACCACCGAAAGTGTAGATTCCGACAACGAACCTCTGATAACTTTTTCTGGCTCGAAAAGTTTACAGTCGACATTTTCCTCAGACTCTCCTTCGGATTACTTGACGCCACTCGAGGACATACTTCCCCATCCAACACTGGTGGCTGAATTTACGCAAGGTTCCTCGTCAACTCCTTCATCTATGACACCGAAGATTGCGGTTCTATCCTCTCCATTGGTAGAAGTCAGACCCGCCATTCAGGACGATGAGGGGAGTGATATATTCTCAGTCATAGATATAGAAGGAAGGAGGCGGACAGCTTTCAAGACACATTTAACGCCACATCCTAAAACTCTTAACACTCCTAAACTCTTTTAGCGAAACTCAAAAGAGTTGATTTTACCATTGGTTACTCATTTCACTTAATTTTACCAAATCTCAAATTTACTGATTTTGTACATTTTTAGTTTAGTTACCTATGAAGTTTAGCCTGTTCAATTTGTTTATATGTCACATTAACCCAATTGTACTTAACATTTCGTCATTTGTATAGTCGCTGTTTATATCTATTTCATCTTGTAGGTAGACTGTAAATATTACCACATAGTCATCTCCATGTTAATTTGTATTATCTCTGTAAATTCCATTGGTGCTAAACGCTGATATTTTTTGTTTCAACTTTGGCCCTCGTGGAGTGCGGCAAGAATGGAGTACATGTGTAATAATGGCTACACAGGGAAAAGTGCAGATATAAAATTTTTGTGCAGTGGGGAATGTTGTGATTTAGTATTTTAGTATGTTTTAAACTTTACCTCTATGTGTTAATTATGTACCAGTTAACGTTTACTCTTCGAAGTCCAGTGGACTTCGCGTCACTAGTTGCTCTTTTAAGACATCCGTCAGTTTTAATTCAATACCTTATTTTATTCCTTTTTAACTTAGTTTAGTTAGAATAGTTACCAGTGGTGTTTGCACACTTTTATTAGATACACGCAGTTTTTTTGTCAAAGCTTTCCAAAAAGCACCTTAAATGCCTTTTCTGGTCTGTTTTTGAGTTCATTTGTCATTTAGTTGGGCATCTTTTTGAGGGTATTTGTTACTAAATCACTATAAAGACCCAATTTTTTTTCGAAATATTCTGCGTAATACGTCGAAAAGAGCTTTGTTAAAAATTACTTTTTTTGGCGCACTCCCTCTTCAAAAAGTAGTATATTTTGGCGCCTCTAGAAAAATTTTACATTCGGTTGCCAAATTGGATGTCGTAACACAGCATCATAGGAAGACCATTTTTGGGTGATGAGCAGAACGAATTCCTGAGAGGGGTATCGCCGCCCCCTAAATCTGCCACGGCTTCGAGTCCTACATTCGGTAAATTTATAACAACAACGTTACTGATTTCCTTTGATGTTGTTTGCAAGAAATGGTTTTTCGTTCAGATCCAACATATTTTATTTCAACTTAATGTTTTAGTTTTTTCCTCAGCTGCAAAACACCCTGCTGTTTTGACTCAGGGTCATAACTTACCTGGGTACAGTTCAAGGGGTCTGCTGCCTCATCGAATCCGTCGGGACACTCGGTGATGTTGTTGCATGGTACAGCACACAGCGGTATAGTATCGTTACACCTGAAACAGCGACAAACCTAGTCACAAAAAAATCAATCATCATTTTCAAAATGGCGCTCAGTTCACAAATAACATGAACATGTGCAGCTGGGTCGATACGCTTCGCGTTCCTGCGAGCCTCGAGACTCGAAATGTATCTAAAAGCGGCTCTTCTAAGTCACCTGTCATTTCGCCGTTCCACAATCAGACAAATGTCGTATAAAATTGTTCTGTCCTCCCTCTTGTCATTTATTTGAAAAGTCTACAGATTAAAAGTTTTGGTAGAAGTGGAGATTCTAATGTAAATTCGACTAATTGCAAATTTGCCGCGGACAGCATCGCCATTTTTTTATAGAGGTTTAGATTTGTACGCTACGATAGTTTAATGGTCCAGTCGAGAGATTGGTAGCCAAAGGTGAACGAGTCGGGACAATAAAAAATTAGACAATGACCAGTTTTTAACTTCATTATCGATACTTTACAAAAAACTGAAATTAAAGTCTTTTTATACGTGTAGCAAAATCCTCGACCCTTATAAGCCCCTACATAGCACTAATAGGGAGCTACAAGAAGTCGGTCCACTAGAAGGTAAAAACTTCATGAGATCTCGAAAAACGCCCTGTTGCCCATTATTAAGATAGGATTTTTAAAAAAATTCACGTCCCATGCCGCACACAGTGAACAGATTTCGAAAACTCTTAGGCCGACCGGCTATAACAAGAAACACATGCAACCGTAGAAGACCAGGAGAAGAGAAGTTCCAGATACACAGCGTTGACAAATGCCCTATAGTCCCCATCACAAATGCCCAAGTGAACAGTCTCCATCACGGATTTCGGGAAGTCATTTCTCCACCCGACTAAACGCAGGCAGGAGAAACGTTGGAATTTGATAGATAGGGGCAAGATACATCGTATGTCATAATTTTAACCAAGTCGTAAAATGAAGAAGGACATCTGTACCGGAAGGTGATAGCACTTGTGAAAGTAACTCCGGAGATCAGAAATAGGCAACTTACGCGAATTAAAGAGCGAAGAAACATTGATTTTATGGCGGAAGTGGACATTAGAACCCATCCCCATTAAAAGACTCCTTGCCAACCGAACCTCTCCAACGACCCCTTTTGGAGTAAATAGCTCTCCCACGCGAAAAGTGATAATGAACCACAGAAATGGGATAACTAGGGAAGTATTGATGGGATAAAGAACTTTTATAAAAACTTTGGGCGCTTGGGACCAACATTGCAAGGAAGACCTCCAAAAAAATACCTGAAAAAGGATTAATTCCCAGGGCCAACTCTTTGGAAATAAGAATCAATCACCCAACTTATATTTGGGAGTTATATTATCTGATGGGATCTGGAGCAGACGCTTAAAAGGATACAGTTTTTAAATTGTAACACTGAAGTGTTGGAACTAATCAAAATGGACTTGGCAAACATTGGGTTCAGCTTAGCTTAGCGAGTGAGCTATAAATAGAAATTCAATCTGACTCTAGAAAAGTAGTCTCAGATGAAGTTGGCTGTACTAGGAGCGTTTCATGGCAAGCAAGTCTCCTAAAAAATTTGAAGGAATGGGCTGATGAGTCAGCTCTCCCGACGTGTGGTGACCCTTAATAATCGAACTACGTTCCCCTAATAGTTAGAAGGTCGGGATTGGAAAAGAGTATAGCTTGGAATATTAGATGCTTGCAATGAGCAAGCTACTCATCAAAAAGGTATTTGTCTACCCCTGAGGGGTCGGAACGTTAACAGGATGAATAATGAAAACCCTTGGGAAGGTGACTTTGTAAACATAACTGGTTGGAAATAAAATTGGACTTGATATTTGCACAACTTACTTGGAGATATCTATGGTGAACATGGCAGTTATAACTAGTGTCGCCAGTGGAAAAATTTTGTTAGGATTTTGAGTAAGAGGTACTAAAAAAAATTCAGGACTGGTAGGAACGAGCATAACTCTAAATATAACTAAAACTCAAATAGAAACACATGTAGAGACTAACAAGCAGCCTACTCTCAGGAGAATAATTGGTACTGGGTTATAGTATAGTTGGTTCTCAGTTAAATAGAGAACAATCATTGGAGACGATAAGTTTCAAAATTAGAACAGTGATTGATGAAATTTGCGAGATCAGTTAAGTACCGCAAAGGAACAGTGATCTGTAGAGACATTATAAATTTCAGCAAGCTTACTGAGTAGTTTGTAGAATTGCTGTGTAAAACTGGTTGATTAGGATCCTCTAGAATCCTCTAGGACCCTTTCCTTTGATTATATTATCAGATTTTATGCTGACCACATATTGTCTTCTGTATTTGGACTTGTATTATCTGAACTTAATTAAAATTACAAATTCTTGCTGTCGTATCAAGCGGATGAGACAGTCATAAGAGCAGTACAAAAAGCAAGTAGCATAACGCAATACAGAAGAGTTGCCACCAACATAACCCTTTCATGATTGTGGATAGTACTTAATCTCAGTTGCTCTGCTGAATTCACTATCCAAGAGAACACTTTGCAATGTCGTTAAGAGAGAGAGAGAGATAGAGGGAGATGAAAAACAAACCTTGAGGGATTCAATGTCTATAGTTTTCTCTTAGTTTCTCTTTTTCTGTTTTCTGTGGTTCTTGCTTCTCCTGCTGTTTGTTACCGGCCTCTACATTCTGTTTGTTATTTTCCTCTTTTTTAAAGCCCCAGCGCGCTTTCTTCAAATGAATTATCTCGTGTGACCAGCTCAACCGCTTCTTTTTCAATTTCTTGTCCAGCCTTTTTATTTTCATTCCGTGTTGCTTATGTGGGCATTATACTCCCTGCGAACCCCCCGAATTGGTTTTTTGATTTTCACGCATTGTTTGATTATTTTCACTAGTTTTTTGTCAAAACTTTTTATATGGCTGCCCACGGAACTTACACGTAAACGACGACGTTTTTTTATTCAAGTTTTAGCTTTTTGCTGCGGGCTAACGTCGCTGGCTTGTTGTCTTTCGTACTCCAAGTTTTTGTTACGAGCTTGCTTGCTTGCTCTTGGATGTTTTTCTGATTTGGGTTCATACATTTTGCCATTTGCTTTTGCTTTGTGACCCTTCACTTTTGTTCTGTTGCTGTTGGTGCGGTTTTCGAAGTCTTTTGTTTTGTCCCGAAGCCGTTTTGTTTTGGTTGTGGTTTCTTTTGACTTATACCCGGTCGCCCCGAGATCAGTCTCCGGTCCTCTGGTTAATCTAATCATTAAGGTTGTCTTGAAATCTATATATACTTAGACGTTTGCAGGCCGTGGAAACTTTTTTTTGAGTTGTGTTTTGGGTTTCCGTAAAAGCATGGGTCAGGAATGAATAAGAAATCTTCAATAGAAACAAAACTGCTCGAATCAGGGCGAAGCCCTGAATGTTTCGACTGCCGTTTAAAGTCTATAGAGCAGCATAAGCATGAAAAAATTAAATGTAATAAAAATAACAGGAAAATTAAAAAAAATGAGATATATACTTTTCACAAAATTTTCACAAAATTTTCACAAAATTTTCACAAAAAACCACACGCCAGATAAAGTACAAAGTGATAAACTTCGCTCTTAGTAACACATCTTAAGCTTCCTTCAACCAATTTGGAACGATTTCTAATACGGATGTAATCTCCGCTTACGCGTTATTAGCGCGAAATATATCGCGCGTTAATTGTCCCAAATTGGTCAAAATGGCAATTTTTAAACCCCGGTAACTTCACAAAAAACGATCACAGGTGAAATATATTTTCAAATTTAAGCTCAGGACAGCAGTAACTTTCGAGTGATATAAAAAATATTCTGTCAAAAATGGCTAGTTAAAAAATCGAAATTTGGCTGAAGAAAAAAAACCCACCCGAGGACAAATATTCCGTTGCTTTCATTACAAAAGTCGGAAAAATAACTCTTGATTACTTTTTCTGCCTACAATATACGTTATCCCTCACATTATACATTTTGTCGTTGCTATGTTTGTCAAGGGATTAATTGCTTTTCCTTTCAGATGTGCTTCAAAAGTTGTCATTTTCCCTATTGGGTGTTGCTTTCTTCTGGTTGCATCAATGAGCTCCGCGCTCTCTAAAGCTCACTTACCCTAGCATGAAAACCAATTTTTTATGAATGAAATTGAAACTGCTAGGGACAAATTGTACGATGTTTTTGATAATTTTTTTTAACCTTTCTTCAAAAATAAGTCGATAGGAAATTTTGTTAATAGTGGTAAGTAAACTAATTGGCTGTTAATTTAGCAGGGTATCCACATTTTCAATTTTGAGGGATAATAATCCTTCTTAAAACATTCATAAGAAGAAGCGCTAATAACTCATTTATAACAGACAAAATAGTTTTGAAATTTTTACTGCTCACTCCATGATGACCAACAGCACTACTATTGCTCGCCGTTTTAATTGCTTTACTAACAACAATTGAATCAATTATAGAAAAAAAACTTAACTGTTTCCCCGGGTCCAGGTCGTGGTTTCATGTTCAGACTGTGTGGACCAGAATTTCGCATGTTCAGACCTTTGGGACCAGAATATGGTATGTTCAGACCATTGGGACCAGAACATAATTTTTTCAGACCGTGCGGACTGAGTGAATACGTTTTCAGACCGTGTGGACCCAAAAAATCCGGATTCAGAACGTGTGGACCAACAAAAACCGGTTTGAGACCGTGTGGATCAAAGGAATCCGATTTCAGATCGTATGAACCGCAGGAATCCGGTTTCAGACCGCGTGGACCAACAAAATCCGGTTTTAGACCACGTGGGCAGCAAAACTTGAGTTCAGACCGTGTGGACCAAAGAAGTCTGGGTTCAGGCCGTGTGGACCAAATGAATCCAGTTTCAGACCATGTGGACCGACAGAATCCTGATTCAGACCGTGTAGAGCAAAAAAAAATTCGGATTCAGACCGCGTGGACCGGAGGAGTCTAAATTAGGACCGCGTTGACGAGTGGAACAATGGAAACCTAGTTCAGACCGTGTGGACCAAAAAAGTCCGGAGTTAGACCATGTGGACCGATTGAATCCGATTTCAGACCGTGTAGACCGACAGGCTCCTGGTTTTTCAGACCGCGTGAACCAAAGAAATTCGGATTCAAACCGCGTGGACCAAAGGAGTGGTTCACACAGAGTGGGCCGAAGGAGTCCGGATTCAAACCGTGATATTCTCGAGTTATCCTTTTCTTTATGGTCATTTTTGCTCAACAGAAGATAAGAATTTATCTAATGATTTAATTGTTTAGTTATAAATAAAATCAAGTTTATCGTCAATGTTCAAACAAAACTTAATAATTTTCAAAAAATTGTGCAATACAATACAAAGCAGTTGTTAAAATAAAATCGTATTCAAAAAAGCTTTCGGAATAGTCAGACCCTTGGCTTGGGAACAAAATTTTGATGCTATTTTTTAAAATTTCAATTAACAAAAGATAATGATCGCTGATATTAATTTCAATCGTATAAATTTACAGAAAGTCGTCAGAAATACAATAGTCAGAATAACTTTTTGAATCTAGTGGAAAGCAAGCCAAGGGCGTGGAAGGCGTGATTCTAGTGGAAAGCAAATTTTGTAAATTGAACCCAACACATTTCAGTACAGTTCAAAGCACATTACTACCTTGAAATAACTTCCGGGATTTTGATGTTCAGTTCTCCACATAGAAAAAAAAACTTTTTGCTTTTAATTTATGATAAATTGTTCAAAAAAAATTCTAAAGACTCCGTGAAATTTTCGTGTGCCATTTCAGACGGTTTTGTGCAAATCTGCAAATACAAGATATTCATTGTTGGGCTCATTTACAAACATTGATAAAGTTTTCAGTGCTGTATTTATGCTCAAATCAGGAATTATGGGTTCAAATAAATTTCTCTCGCAATGAAAAAAACGCAACCTGATATGTAGAGCCAGACTTCACTAAGGGAAATGATTATAAGTTGACTGAGAAAGCTATCAACATAGCCCATAGCTGGTCATGATGGCACCGAAACGACCTGCTATTCAAAAAAAACAAGTTTGCTGTTTTTTCTCACCTCCCTCAATATGAGAACCTACCTCAGTATCGTTCAGTTCCCATGAATTCAATTTGGGAACAATTGTCATATGTCAATTGTCAATTTGGGAACAATTTGGGAACAATTGTCATACGGGGTTATTCGTTACAAGGTTAAACTTTCTTATGCATAAGCATTGGATTAGTTTTTATAGATATATACAGTAGCGGATTTAAGTGGGCGGGGGGCGGACGCCCCTCCCCCTTTAGGGATTCGACCCCCTGCCGACCCAAAAGGCCCCCTTTGTGCTATTTTGAGATACCCATTTTTGGCTTACTGACCTTAAAATTTTCTAAAGGCGCCTTTGGCGCCAATTTATACTACTTTTGAGCGGGGAGCCAGTGAGTTATTAGTAAGTTTTTGTGTAGTTTTTACCTGAATTACCTGAGTTTTTTAAATTAGATTTTTTAATATTATGATTGTTGTTATGATTAATTTCACCAATATTGTCCTAAGTATTGTCATCATTACGATTAAGTGTATTATTAGTATTGTTATGATTATTGAAGGGACGGATCTCCTTAACTATAAATCATTAACAGGAAGATCTTGAGTTAGTATGCTTTGTAAGAGTTAGATATTCAAAACACACCAGCCAACCTCACTAATCCTTCGTTGCAGTACCCGTCTGGGTTCCATTGGTTGTACTCGGTCGGTATTCCGTTGTCGTGCAGATCACAGTCAAGCGGACCTGTAAACGAAATCGAACAAAAATAAATTGATCAACTAATTTTTGCTAAATTTTTACCTCTATGCAGGGGCGGATTTAGGATTTTCTATGCAGAGGCGGATCAAGGAGCGGATTTTCAAAAAAATATATCGAAAATTTTGTCGACCTATTCTTAGATCAACCAAATTGATTTTCGCAGCTCTCCAAAAGCACTACGAAGAGCCTGTTTTGCCAAAATTTTTGCACCGCAGGCAAAATTTAAAAAAGAGGCGTTTTAGGCAATTTTTGGAAAATTTTGACCAAAAAATTGCGTTTTTTTGTGCGCGCTCCCCTCTCAAAATAAGTATATATTGGTGCCGAAGGCTCCTTAAGAAAAATTTTAGGGTCCGTCACCAAAAATTGATATCTCAATTAGTACCGGCAGGGGGTCGAATCTCTGAGAAAGGACGTCCGCCCCCCCCCCCCCCCCCCCCCCGCAAATCCGCCACGCTATAATTGCTTGAAACCTCAGAACAAAAATTGAACCCCAACCCACTTACTTCTGGCGTATTTTGTTCCTCTAACGCAGTCTTTGATGTCAGTTGGCATTAAAAACATCAACTCGACAAATAGAAAAAACCTTCGCCAGAAAGCAGTTAATTTTCAGGAAACAAGTTCAAATTTTTTGAAATATATAGAAAAACTATTATCGAGAAAAATTCTATTCCCAAATCATTTTCTTACAACTTCAAAATTATTAAGAGCTCTTGGCGTCCATTGAAGGTTTATCTGGACGCAGAGAAAAATCAAATAAAAGGCAGTTAATCTCAAATAACCGGAAATCTCGAATAAATAACTTAATTATGATAACCCGGGTAGAGGTGCTCACCGTATGTTTTGACCTTCTCAACCAAAAATCGGTATTTTTCGATTGTGCTCGACCCTGCCTCAACCATTCTCGACCCAAACCCCTGTCTCAACTATTCTTTTTCGGTCGAGCATATGAACAAACAAAACAAAAGCCCTCTTTAAGATCCAAACACATGAGTTCTCAAAAAGACTTTGCGCGTCCATTTGAAAGCGTTAATAATCAAATATTTTAAGATATAGGTACAATAAGTCTTTCTAAATTAAGAAAAAAACTCTAATATAATCAATTAATGATCGATTAATTCTTTTTCATAACAAACTATAATCATTAAAGAATATTTCAAATGATTGTATTCAAATAGTATTGAAACACAGTTTAATCGATAATAATCTATTAACATCCCTTTCACTTGGCAAATTCGTCTTTGACCTTGCATCTAAGTTGCTTGTAGATAATGCTTTTTTGATAAAACATAACCTAAGTTAAAGTTTGATGAAACATTTTAGCAGTTCTCAAATCAATTCAAACACATTTTTGGTCGTATTTTATTCGTTAAGCCTATTGTTTTAGTTTGATGATTAATGTAGTTAAGCTGTTCTTAACTATTTTGGGTATATTCAATCTAGAATGAAAACTACTCTATGACGATTTTGCTTCATCGTGAGTTTTTCGGTTCAGATGGAAAAAAGGTGACAAGATATCTCACCTTTCAGAATTTCGTGTTTGACAGCAACATTACGATCAGTTTTAACGTGTACTTTTTAGCAATTCTTGTAAAAATTTAGCAAGAAAATTACAATCAATTAGGAAATATAGGCAATTGTAATAGACTATAAGATATTACACAGAGGCGGAGCGGATACAACACAAACATTAGAGGTACAAAAATGAAAATTGTTGAAAAAACTACGCTTAATAAAACTTTTGTATGTCTCGATAAAAATTCAATCTAGACAAACATGCCACGCAAAATATTTAATTTTTCAATTAGCAACCCAACAAAGCTGACGAAGCGGAAACAAAGTAGACAAGTTTTGGTCAGTCACTAGTTCAGCCGAAACAAAATGGTTTTGTAAAAAAAATATCGAGTCCTCTAGAAACACATTGAACAACACTTGCAACTATAAAAAACACAGCCAACGGACAGTTGGAAAAGAGAAATGAACGCAAAAAATGACTTGTTTTTTGAAAAAAATTAGACTGCCATAAACTTCTTTCAATTTCTAGGACAATTTACAACTAGCATTTTTTTGATACAGCTGACCCAATTTGAGAAAACTGGATCTTTGGGTAAAGTTTTTTTCCGCTGAGAAATCTGCTAATTCAATTCCACTTTTAAAATAAGAAGTTGATCACGTTTTTCGTAATTTGTACATCCGATAGTGGAAATTGCCTTCAATTTGCCAAAAGAAACAAATTGAACTTAAAAAACAAATCAAATTTCAAACCGCGAAAAATTAAATTTGCGCCTGAACAAATTTTAAAATTTGACCTTCTCGACCCTTCGCAACACAGCCTCGCTCCTTTACGTCACACTACAGTACCCTAAGGTTCATGAAAATAACTTTCCTTAATAAAGAAAGTTATCAAATAATTCAAGTGGTTCTGTTAAACTAGATGTTAACTAGAAGAAAAAAATCAAGATTCCATTATGATAACTCTTGCTTATCGCAAGCGTAATAATCACTTAGACAGTTTCACGCTTAAAATTGAATATAAAATCATTAAATATCTAATATTGCTAAAGGTAATCGATTATAAATGTCACCAAAGTTTAAGAAAATCCATTGTAAACGGGAACAAGAGCTTATAGCTTGATGTAGTTGTTCTATGTTTCGCGCCTTCAAAAAAGTGAGAGTCACAGCCTGGAAGAGTCAGTAGATTTTTTTATTGAGAAAATTAAAATAATTCAAACACTACTATGCAGTGATTCAAACAATGAGTTAATCCCGAGAATAACAAGTAGAAAAAATTTTGCGAATCTAATTTTAGTATGCTCCTAAATCATTTCGCATTCTGAAAACAATTTCTTTTTTTTTCAATTGCGCGTCAAGCATTTCTCTGAGAATTCTGACCAATCATTCTCCTCTTGCTCTCCCGCTCCCACCTCTCTCTATCTATCTATCTCTCTCTCTCTCTCTCTCTCTCTCTCTCTTCTCTTTCTCTTTCTCTTTCTCTTTCTCTTTCTCTTTCTCTTTCTCTTTCTCTTTCTCTTTCTCTTTCTCTCTCTATCTTTCTTTTTTTCTTTCTTTATTTATCTTTCTTTATTTATTTCAACTCTATTCATTTCTCTCTCTCTCTCTCTCTCGCACTTTCTTTCTTCTTCAAGCAAGTAAAAGCGAGAGAGAGAAGTTTGCCCCCTTGCTGCCCCCTTCATTTGCCCCCTTGCTGCTATTTTAAAATGAAGATATTCAAGTGTTTGTTTCCACAGTTTTAATCATAACAATTACTCTTAGAATTTCAAAATATTTATTTCTGTAGCATGCGTTCTTTGAGAACTTATCGAATTGGTCTATTTTCGCATCTTTTTCACTTTGAAAGAAGATAAATGGTAAAATCAAGGGGTTAGAGCCTGTTTTGTTTCAATACCTCAATATTTCAACGTTTAGTTCCCTGTGGGATACTTTTTCTTGTCTAACCCCTTTCTTGATACTTTCTTGCATCAGAAAACAAATGGTTTTCGTCAGATCAATTTGGAAAAATTTTTCAGCATTTCAACTCCAATCTTGGTTTTTTTATTGCGTTTAAGCCGTTGAAGCAAATTAGTTGGAGATCAAATATCTATAGAGTTTACAGTTCTTCAGTAGATTCCGCCGCTTTTTTTGTTCAAGTTTGTTGTTTTTTCTATGAATTCCTCATTTTTTGCTAAATTCTTCTTTTTAATTGAGGATTCGATTTGTCTCTGTATCATGAAATTTTTTAACATTAACAAACCGGCGCTGTTTTACTGTAGAATTCACTGACGAGTTGTGGAATCCAGCAAAAGTTGTTGCAATCCAGTTCAGCGGCCAAAAAGCATTTGTTGGGGGAATCCAAAACAAGCATTGCAAAACATTCGTCGCAAAAATCCAAAATGTCAGGGGATTCCCGAAAAAAAAACAAATTCCAATCTTAGGTCAATTTCAAGTCAAGATCTTTTTAATCATGCGTTTTTCGTTCCTATCATTCTCTCTATTTCAATAAACTTCAAATTTCTGTAGAGTTTTGGGGAAAAAATGGGTTCCAGGGTAAGGCGTTTAGATAGTTTTCCAATTTCAATTCCAATTTTAAAAAAAACCTATTTGTAATAGGTTCAAATTGTGACTTATTTTTGCCAACGCAAAATAGTTTTAGTTCTTAAAAAACAGATAGTATTGAAAAAAAACCGTTTCACATGATAGGCTTCGTTTTTGAGCTGGAACTAATCATGAGCTCTCAAAATCCCATTTTTCGTGTAAAGATGGAAAACTATTGATTTTGATTATACGCTCGATTCATTTTGCAAAGATATTCTTCCAAAAAAACTTTGTCGATTAAATAAGATCAAAAATTATAAAAATACTAAAAATTTGACATTTTAATGGCAAGCTTGGTATATATTTTTCTATATTTCAAAGCCTTTTCAGTACAAACAATCCTGTGTTTTTTTTCTAATGGTTTTTCCTTAGCAATGTCATTGTTATTTTTGTATTTGGAATTTTGTCTTTTGGTCTGTTTTGGTTTTTGGGTTGAACACAATATCAAAGTGAAGCCCTGTAAGTCGCGATTCGAACGATTGTACAAAAATTTATTTAAATATAAAGTTATACGTTGTCCCTGCTTGGAGAAAAGAGTAAGCTTGCTTGAAAGTTTATATTCAAGCAAGTAAAGCGAGAAAAAAAGACTAAACAATTTCATTAAACAGTGAAAAAGTTAGTCTGAATACGGAAAAACTAGTTTTGGAAGCTTCATTTAGCGAGTCCTCGGTAAGAAGTTTTTAGTTTTATTTAACTAAGATTTATTTTGTTTGTCATTAAGTTTTTAAGTACTGCTGTTGTCCATTAGGTCTAATTAACTAACGATCTATGCGTATACGTTCGTCTAGTCTAGTTTTCTCATTACACCACGCACAATAATCAGAAAGAAAACATCTTTTTGTAGTTTTAATAGATGTGGTGGGAAATTTCCAAGCTACTTGTACAGTAACTGACTTTCCTTGCTCAAATTTGTTGTATGATGAAACATTATACAAAAAAGAAACACTTAGCAAAAAAGCTTCGTAGTTTGGAACTTTCCCACCCCCAAACACACGTTTCAAAGTTCCTATTCCCATAATCATTAGCGGATTCAGGGGGTGGGGCGGAAGTACTGCTGTTGAATATCGCTTTGGCGCAAAAGTTCTCGAGAATCTTTTGTACTTAAAAACTAATTGATTTAATTCAATTAAAATTTCCTGGTTCGTTTTCTTAAAAAGCGGAGATATATAATTTAGAAAAGCGGTAAAAGCGAAAAGCGGCTTCGAAAAAAGCGGAAGCGGCGAGAAGCGGCTTTTCCATAAGCGGTCAATTCACTGCTGAAAATGCCAATCATACAAGATATAATAATATTTTTCAGCATAAAATTCTGTATATCGTTATAAAAACAAAAAACGAAAACTTTTTGACAACAAAAATTCTGTACTCAAACAATCATTTTCTAAATTTTGTACTCAACAAATTTTTTTAATTTTTTTTGCATGCGAGTGCGTGTGTGCATAACGTAATCTTGAGTACACAAAAATTGATTTTTTCCATTTCTCAGGATAATTTTTTTTCAAAAACGCTAAAACGCCTATGTATTTTGTATGACACGTTTTTGTATGCCTCGATCGATGCATAATTAATTAAAAATTCAAGTTATAAAAAAATCACCCCTTAAAATTTTTGCCAAAAAATAAAAGTTTAATACTTTCCTTATATCATTTGTTTAAAACAAAACTATGACAATTCAGGCCGTGTCCGATGCATTGTAAGTGCGAGACGTTCAAGCGTTGGTTTATTCTACTTTTGAGTAACCAAGGTCTTTGCCACTTGTTTTCTGTTACATTTGTTCAAGTTTTTTGGTTTATGAAAATTGCTAGTCATACAGTTTCCATATAAGAAAAATCACTAATCATAGACCTTTCATGCAATTTTCTGTACTTATGGAATTGCATGAAAGGTGTATGATGAGCATTTTTCCATATATGAAAATTGTATGGCTAGCATTTTTGGTCAACCCGGGAAGGCTAAATGCGAGATGCTACGAAGAAATGTATGAACAACAAATTATTAGGTTGTTCACACTACCAAATTTCATTCCATTATGACAACGTTAAAAAGATTTTTCAAAGTTGAACTTCCAATGTGGGGATACTTTTATAGTTAGTTTAGACTATTCGGCACTATTCGATCTATTCGCTCGCTGTACGGCCGCACTATTCACTCGCGGTATGAATAGAATTAACTGAGAACTATTTCTTTTTTTGCCACTGAAGTTGTTTCTTTTTTGCTGCAACAAATTATTCTAAAAAATTTCTGTGGAAAAAAAGTGAAAAGAAGCCACCAATTTTGCGGTAAATTGGCAGTTTTAGTATATCTTGAAATTTTAAGTCTGCTACGATGGCGATGGGGAGCGTTTAGTTGTAAAATTCTACTGAAATATCTCATAATGAATATAATTTTTTTTGTTTGAACAGTTTCTACATCAAATGGTCAAGAAATGGCACTTTTCGCTCGAGAAATGGTACTGCGAGTCTTGGCAAGAAAAATTATGAAAATGAAGAAAAAGAGTTCAAACTTACTTCCGTTGACATCGGCGCCCTCATCCCAATTGTTGTCGCAGTCTTTTCTCCCGTTGCATATCCACCTCGACGGAATGCATTGCTGCAACAAAACCACTACGTTTTTTTTGTACAAATTAAAGCCTTGCATGTCATAATAATGGTTTGTTATGGACTTTCTAGTCAAGATTTTACTAAAAGAGTCTCGGTTTTTTTCGACAACACCTCCTCTCCCATCAACCCCACCTTTCAATTTAAATTTTTGTCCAAACGAAAAACTGAGAACACATTTGTTCTTCATACCTTACATCATAACAGCAATAATAATATGTAAAAGAACTTTTAAAAAATTGAAAGGGGAAACGAGCGAGAATCTCAACGCTACAATGATGGTAGATACTAAAAATTTTGTAGATAATGATATATATTAGGGTGGTAGGCCAACAAGCCGAAGGGCCAACATACTGAAAATAAAAATACCATTCCAACAGGCCGAAAGTTAACATTGTTATATAAGGCAACGACAGATTTTCACTGTTGTCATGCAATTATTACGTAATTCTGCTGTAATTTAATTAATTCTGATGCACATTCGCTTCAAGATATGGCGATTCGTTGATTATACGCCATCAGTTAGATACAAATGCAACATTATATCATACTAATATATGTTTGATGCCAATATTAGTTACTGATGGTTTACTATATTTGGACAAAAGCAAAGCGAAGCTCCGTATCATTCGCAAAACAACGCAAATGCATCATTGCAAGCAAAATAATACAAAATGAGACCGAAAAAAGCAAAGTCGAATGAAAATATTGGAAAATGAAAAAAAATTCAGAAAAACAGTGGAAAACAGAAGCCTTATCAAAAAAGTTTTTGTATTTGACGAGCAGCCACTAAGCAAACAGCAAATAGGTAGACGCTTATGAAAAACACATCCATCTACCATAGAAAACATCTGACAGCTCAAAAAATTCCCCGACAGAACATCAGCAGACAAACAACAAATCGACAATTCAATTTTTCTCAGAACTCTTTTGTTTAATTTCCGCCTTTCTCAAATCCGAATACCGCTCGCCATTAGGTATATAAGTTACAGATATGTTGGTTCTACCAATGAGAAAGTGATTGCGAGTAAGCTCTTCAAAAATTTTTGGATCATCGCTCACTAGCGGCGTCAGTGGTCTTGCATTCAGGTTTTGCTTGACCTGACCGATGGTTGTACTCAAGATCTTATCTGTTATAGATCGATATCCTAAAACTGCAATCATAGCTTTTTTGCAGCTTCTGACTAAAAGCTCCCAGGTTCCACCAAATTGAGGCGCTCCCGGGTTGAATTTGCAAACGATGTTTCCAAGCTTATGTTTTTCTTCAATTTTTTCATCAAGCCAAAGGGCCAAAAAAATCGAAAATACTTTTACCATTCCAACACAGATGATTATACGTCATATATTAAACAAATACTATATTATATCTTACAATTATATACTGGATGCTAAAATTAGTCTTTGGTGGTATAATTTATTATACATAGAGGCGAAATGGAGCTTCGTATCATTTGCAAAACAAGGCAGACGCAGCATTGCAAGCAAACGAATAAAAATGAGACTGAAATAACAAAACCGAAAAAAAATGATTGGAAAACGAAAAAGTTTTTTAGAAAAACAATCGAAAAACACAAACATTGTAGAATAAGCTTTCAGTTAGGTAACTTTTTCTATTTGCCGAGCGGCCACTAAGCCAATAACAAGTAGGTAGACGCTCATAAAAACACTTGCATCTAAAACTTATTGACTTAAACAACTCCCCAATGTGTCAAATTAGCCGACAAAACATCAGCAGACAAATGAAACATCGAAAAATCATTTTTTCTCCAAATTTTTTGTTTAATTTCCCTTTAAAGAAAAAAACAAGGTTGGTCGGGAATCGGAGGATTTTATATTATATTAAATTAGAGATTTTAGCGGCTGCTAATTCTCAACAATTTTACAACGAGCGTTTCTTCGGCTTTGATTCACTAAATTTTTCAATTATTAGACAGTTTTATCCCAAACAGAAACAAATGCCCGACAAAAGTTTCAAAGGATTGTATCTGCAAAATGTTGATCTGAGTTCAAGAAACGAACAAAATGATTGTTGAATACTTAATTTATGTTCTGACGTTACAACTCAGACTGATGCTTGCGTAAGAATACCAAAGTTTTAATGAAAAAAAATTAGTGTAAGTTTTCAACATCATTAATTAAAATAAATATTTTACTGCTTTTTTAAAAAACAAGCATAAAATCTGGCATCAGTTGAAAATATTTATGACGAGCTAAATGCTTTACATTTTGGGCGCAAAAAAAATGCTCGCAACGGAAAATTTATTCATTTTCAGATATAAAAAAAAATTCTACCAACTGTTTCACATAATTATCAAATAAATACATCCGATTTCTCATTATAAAAGTATGAGTAAAATGAGCACAATAACAAATAAATTGATAAAAATGATTTAAAATTTCGACCTTGATTTCGAACAAAATATCAAATAATTTTTTCAAGGTTTTTTTGCTGGCGCCCACATCACCGGCCCTATTTTGGTCTGGAAAACAATCGGAGTAGAAAAAATCGCTAGTTTCATCTGAGTTCTTTTGTAAGTCCCCATGACATTTTGAACGTTGCTGGCCTGATAACTCCGTCCTTGGCTGGATACGTTTCTACTACTCGGGCCATCTTGTAACCAGATCGTTCAACCGAGTCGCCTTTCTCAAATCGGAATACCGCTCGTCATTAGGTATAAAAATGCATTTCTTATTATAAATAACATCACGAGTAAAAAGAGGGAGGGTAGAGGCAGGGCAACGATTCGCAACAAGCGACAAGGACGAGACTACTACTGCACGTAAGTGTTTGCCGCTGAATGTGCTCTAACGAATTGTCCCCGCACCGAGCGCCCATGGATCATAATCGATTATACTGTCATAATATGGTCAGCATCTATAAAAAGACAAAATAATCTATTATAATCCATTAAAAATGGATTATAATCCTAGTATTTTTATACCCGACGAAGTTGAGACATGGGACGTTGGGACGAAGTTGAGACATGGCATTTAGTAAAAGACAGGGCATAAATTCTGCAAACTTCTCGCAAAATTTGCAAAATTTTGCAAAAAAATAATCGAATTTAGTTCTAAAAATGAAATGGATTATAATCAATTATAATGGATTATAATGGATTTTGATTTCAAAATAATCGATTATAATGGATTATCTTGGCAAAAATAATCGATTTCAGTGACAAAAATAATGGATTATAATCGATTATAATGGATTATAATGGATTATATTTGTTCAAAAATAATCGATTATAATGGCAATATAATCGATTTCGTGGTCTGAATTTTACATCCGTAATGGATTATAATCGACTATTTTTGTCTCGGGAATCTATTATAATCGATTAGAATCCATGGGCGCTCGTTTGTTACGAATTGTCGCCTCACGGGGCGAGGGAAGGAGATCTTAGAAAGAAAGAGTTGACTAACCATTGAATTGACACATTGTGTTTGATAGTCCTCGCAGACAATGCTACTGTAGTTGATGTCAAAGTCCTGGCCGAGAGAGTTGAACATAGAACCAGTCACTGAACTGTCCAGCTCCGCCAATACTTCGTATCTTAAACATTGGCAATTGTTTGAAATTACGAAATTTACGAAATTAATATATACTCGGGTTGACCGAAAATGCGAGATGTTGAGTTTACACAATTCATACACTGAAAGCATCAAACTTTTGAATATGGCAAAAGTTTTCAAATATGATTATTTTCAAAAATTTGAATTGTTAAATTATCAGACAATGATCAAGGCCTACAGAAACATGCTATACAAAAGAAATAGGAGTTATTAGCGTTTTTTTTTAAAAATAATCCAGAGAAACGGAAACATTATTCAATTTTCGTGTATCGATGACTACGTTATGCACACAGAAAATTAAAATTTGCATGCAAATTTTTTTTTGAAAATGTTTTTTGAGGTACAAAATTCGATTTGCGGATGAAAAAAAAACGAAAAAAAAAATTGAAAAATTGGGGCTTTTTCAAAAGTATTTGGAAATAATTTTGTTGTCGTCATCAAAAAACTGCTAGTCATACAGTTTCCAAATTGAAAATTGTATGATTAGCATCTTTTTGACATTTTTTTTTATTTAGTACGATAAACCGACTTTTATACCATAACAGAAAAAAAATTCTTTAAAAACTCGAGGACACCAATTTAGACGTATGAAATTTGTATTAATAGTATTTTTTCATGGACTTAGATTATGGAATTGTATGAGCAGCATTTTTGGTCTGTGGAGGTCAACCCGGGTATACACTTATATTTATCCGGGTATCCGGGTGTTCGGCTCCGCCAAAATGCCAACGCCAAAATGATCCATTTTTAGAGGATAATTTTGAGGAGATTCTACTACCCATCGACGCACGGTGCCAAACTTTGCCAAATGGTTACCCTGTGGTAAATTGTTATTCAGCATACTTTTAGGCCACTTTGCAAGATAGAACAGATTCAACAAATACTTTCCAGTAGATATGCCTGAGTGGTTTTAAAAATCCACTCAAAGCTGTTCGTTTGATCAAAGTCTGAGATCCCATTTTCATGAAAAAAAACTATTCAAAATTGACCAACTTTTTCAATTTATTTTGTCTGTGCGTAAAAATTGTCTAAAATATGAGTTTTTTGTCTGTGCAAAAATTTTAAGACTTTTCAAATAACAATTATGTAAAATGGTGACTTGCTTGGTGAGTTTTGAGATGAGGCTCTTGCGGAGTGGGTTGGAGTTACAGACAGTGACACTGGGGAAGGTGGACTCCGTACTCCTCACAAGGGTGATGGTGGTGTCCACGTCGTACTCCAGATACTGCGTCACCAGCACAGACATCTGGTAAATGAACCTGCAAACACAAGCAGTGTGAAGTGATAGCCCCTTGTGCACCACTATTGTAGGGGGAGGGGGAGGGTAGGGTAAGGGGGATAAGAGGGAGTGGTTGAACAATGGATAGGAGCAAGGAACAAAACAAAATTCAAGAAATAGGACATTAAACTATAATTACACATTAAATTAATAGCGCTCAAGCAATAGAACCACCAGCGGATTTAGGGAGGGGGTGGCAAGGGGGAGGGGGCGGACGCCCCCTCTTCGGGATTTCAAACCCCCTCCGACCCAAAGGGTCCCTCCTTTGTACTATTTTGAGATATATATTTTTGGTGACGAACCCTAAACTTTTTCTAAAGGGGTCTTTGGCGCCAATATATGCTAATTTTGAGCTGGGAGCGCGCGCCGAAAAAAAACGCTTTATCCGATTTGGCCTGTTTTTTCAAAAATTTCCCTGCGGCGCAGAAAATGGGGTCTTTATGGTGATTTGGGAAATTTTTTTGAAAATCCGCCCTCTCTCGAGAAAATTCTAAATCCGCCCTCTCTCGAGAAAATTCTAAATCCGCCCTCTCTCGAGAAAATTCTAAATCCGCCTTCTCTCGAGAAAATTCTAAATCCGCCCTCTCTCAAGAAAATTCTAAATCCGCCCTCTCTCGAGAAAATTCTAAATCCGCCCTCTCTCGAGAAAATTCTAAATCCGCCCACTCTCGAGAAAATTCTAGATCCGCCCTCTCTCGAGAAAATTCTAAATCCGCCCTCTCTCGAGAAAATTCTAAATCCGCCCTCTCTCGAGAAAATTCTAAATCCGCCCTCTCTCGAGAAAATTCTAAATCCGCTCTCCCTCGAGAAAATTCTAAATCCGCCCTCTCTCGAGAAAATTCTAAATCCGCCCTCTCTCGAGAAAATTCAAAATCTGCCCTCTCTCGAGGAAATTCTAAATCCGCCCTCTCTCGAGAAAATTCTAAATCCGCCCTCTCTCGAGAAAATTCTAAATCCGCCCTCTCTCGAGAAAATTCTAAATCCGCCCTCGCTCGAGAAAATTCTAAATCCGCCCTCTCTCGAGGAAATTCTAAATCCGCCCTCTCTCGAGAAAATTCTAAATCCGCCCTCTCTCGAGAAAATTCTAAATCCGCCCTCTCTCGAGAAAATTCTAAATCCGCCCTCTCTCGAGAAAATTCCAAATCCGCCCTCTCTCGAGAAAATTCTAAATCCGCCCTCTCTCGAGGAAATTCTAAATCCGCCCTCTCTCGAGGAAATTCTAAATCCGCCCTCTCTCGAGGAAATTCTAAATCCGCCCTCTCTCGAGAAAATTCTAAATCCGTCCTCTCTCGAGAAAATTCTAAATCCGCCCTCTCTCGAGGAAATTCTAAATCCGCCCATTCCGAAAAAATTCTAAATCCGCCCTCTCTCGAGAAAATTCTAAATCCGCCATCTCTCGAGAAAATTCTAAATCCACCCTCTCTCGAGGAAATTCTAAATCCGCCATCTCTCGAGAAAATTCTAAATCCGCCCTCTCTCGAGAAGATTCTAAATCCGCACTCTCTCGAGAAAATTCTAAATCCGCCCTCTCTCGAGAAAATTCTAAATCCGCCCTCTCTCGAGAAAATTCTTAATCCGCCCTCTCTCGAGAAAATTCTAAATCCGCTCTCCCTCGAGAAAATTCTAAATCCGCCCTCTCTGAGAAAATTCTAAATCCGCCCTCTCTCGAGAAAATTCAAAATCCACCCTCTCTCAAGGAAATTCTAAATCCGCCCTCTCTCGAGAAAATTCTAAATCCGCCCTCTCTCGAGAAAATTCTAAATCCGCCCTCTCTCGAGAAAATTCCAAATCCGCCCTCTCTCGAGAAAATTCTAAATTCGCCCTCTCTCGAGAAAATTCTAAATCCACCCTCTCTCGAGAAAATTCTAAATCCGCACTCTCTCGAGAAAATTCTAAATCCGCCCTTCCTCGAGAAAATTCTAAATCCGCCCTCTCTCAAGGAAATTCTAAATCCGCCCTCTCTCGAGGAAATTCTAAATCCGCCCTCTCTCGAGGAAATTCTAAATCCGCCCTCTCTCGAGAAAATTCTAAATCCGTCCTCTCTCGAGAAAATTCTAAATCCGCCCTCTCTCGAGGAAATTCTAAATCCGCCCATTCCGAAAAAATTCTAAATCCGCCCTCTCTCGAGAAAATTCTAAATCCGCCATCTCTCGAGAAAATTCTAAATCCACCCTCTCTCGAGGAAATTCTAAATCCGCCATCTCTCGAGAAAATTCTAAATCCGCCCTCTCTCGAGAAGATTCTAAATCCGCACTCTCTCGAGAAAATTCTAAATGCGCCCTCTCTCGAGAAAATTCTAAATCCGCCCTCTCTCGAGAAAATTCTTAATCCGCCCTCTCTCGAGAAAATTCTAAATCCGCTCTCCCTCGAAAAAATTCTAAATCCGCCCTCTCTGAGAAAATTCTAAATCCGCCCTCTCTCGAGAAAATTCAAAATCCACCCTCTCTCAAGGAAATTCTAAATCCGCCCTCTCTCGAGAAAATTCTAAATCCGCCCTCTCTCGAGAAAATTCTAAATCCGCCCTCTCTCGAGAAAATTCCAAATCCGCCCTCTCTCGAGAAAATTCTAAATTCGCCCTCTCTCGAGAAAATTCTAAATCCACCCTCTCTCGAGAAAATTCTAAATCCGCACTCTCTCGAGAAAATTCTAAATCCGCCCTTCCTCGAGAAAATTCTAAATCCGCCCTCTCTCGAGAAAATTCTAAATCCGCCGTCTCTCGGGGAAATTCTAAATCCGCCCTCTCTCGAAAAAATTCTAAATTCGCCCTCTCTCGAGAAAATTCTAAATCCTCCCTCTCTCGAGAAAATTCTAAATCCACCCTATCTCGAGGAAATTCTAAATCCGCCCTCTCTCGAAAAAATTCTAAATCCGCCCTCTCTCGAGAAAACTCTAAATCCGCCCTCTCTCGAGAAAATTCAAAATCTGCCCTTTCTCGAGGAAATTCAAAATCCGCCCTCTCTCGAGAAAATTCTAAATCCGTCCTCTCTCGAGAAAATTCTAAATCCGCCCTCTCTCGAGGAAATTCTAAATCCGCCCATTCCGAAAAAATTCTAAATCCGCCCTCTCTCGAGAAAATTCTAAATCCGCCATCTCTCGAGAAAATTCTAAATCCACCCTCTCTCGAGGAAATTCTAAATCCGCCATCTCTCGAGAAAATTCTAAATCCGCCCTCTCTCGAGAAGATTCTAAATCCGCACTCTCTCGAGAAAATTCTGAATCCGCCCTCTCTCGAGAAAATTCTAAATCCACCCTCTCTCGAGAAAATTCTAAATCCGCCCTCTCTCGAGAAAATTCTAAATCCGCTCTCCCTCGAGAAAATTCTAAATCCGCCCTCTCTGAGAAAATTCTAAATCCGCCCTCTCTCGAGAAAATTCAAAATCCACCCTCTCTCGAGGAAATTCTAAATCCGCCCTCTCTCGAGAAAATTCTAAATCCGCCCTCTCTCGAGAAAATTCTAAATCCGCCCTCTCTCGAGAAAATTCTAAATCCGCCCTCTCTCGAGAAAATTCTAAATTCGCCCTCTCTCGAGAAAATTCTAAATCCACCCTCTCTCGAGAAAATTCTAAATCCGCACTCTCTCGAGAAAATTTTAAATCCGCCCTCTCTCGAGAAAATTCTAAATCCGCCCTCTCTCGAGAAAATTCTAAATCCGCCGTCTCTCGGGGAAATTCTAAATCCGCCCTCTCTCGAAAAAATTCTAAATCCACCCTCTCTCGAGAAAATTCTAAATCCGCCCTCTCTCGAGAAAATTCTAAATCCACCCTATCTCGAGGAAATTCTAAATCCGCCCTCTCTCGAAAAAATTCTAAATCCGCCCTCCCTCGAGAAAATTCTAAATCCGCCCTCTCTCGAGAAAACTCTAAATCCGCCCTCTCTCGAGAAAATTCAAAATCCTCCCTTTCTCGAGGAAATTCCAAATCCGCCCTCTCTCGAGAAAATTCTAAATCCTCCCACTCTCGAGAAAATTCTAAATCCGCCCTCAATCGAGAAAGTTCTAAATCCGCCCTCTCTCGAGAAAATTCTAAATCCGCGCTCTCTCGAGAAAATTCTAAATCCGCCCTCTCTCGAGAAAATTCAAAATCTGCCCTTTCTCGAGGAAATTCAAAATCCGCCCTCTCTCGAGAAAATTCTAAATCCGTCCTCTCTCGAGAAAATTCTAAATCCGCCCTCTCTCGAGGAAATTCTAATTCCGCCCATTCCGAAAAAATTCTAAATCCGCCCTCTCTCGAGAAAATTCTAAATCCGCCATCTCTCGAGAAAATTCTAAATCCACCCTCTCTCGAGGAAATTCTAAATCCGCCATCTCTCGAGAAAATTCTAAATCCGCCCTCTCTCGAGAAGATTCTAAATCCGCACTCTCTCGAGAAAATTCTGAATCCGCCCTCTCTCGAGAAAATTCTAAATCCACCCTCTCTCGAGAAAATTCTAAATCCGCCCTCTCTCGAGAAAATTCTAAATCCGCTCTCCCTCGAGAAAATTCTAAATCCGCCCTCTCTGAGAAAATTCTAAATCCGCCCTCTCTCGAGAAAATTCAAAATCCACCCTCTCTCGAGGAAATTCTAAATCCGCCCTCTCTCGAGAAAATTCTAAATCCGCCCTCTCTCGAGAAAATTCTAAATCCGCCCTCTCTCGAGAAAATTCTAAATCCGCCCTCTCTCGAGAAAATTCTAAATTCGCCCTCTCTCGAGAAAATTCTAAATCCACCCTCTCTCGAGAAAATTCTAAATCCGCACTCTCTCGAGAAAATTCTAAATCCGCCCTCTCTCGAGAAAATTCTAAATCCGCCCTCTCTCGAGAAAATTCTAAATCCGCCGTCTCTCGGGGAAATTCTAAATCCGCCCTCTCTCGAAAAAATTCTAAATCCGCCCTCTCTCGAGAAAATTCTAAATCCGCCCTCTCTCGAGAAAATTCTAAATCCACCCTATCTCGAGGAAATTCTAAATCCGCCCTCTCTCGAAAAAATTCTAAATCCGCCCTCCC